TGAGGAAAAATGAACTATTCTTTCAAGGCTTTCAAGGATGCTTTGTGTTGCTGTCTTAGAATAGGGAATCAATAACACATAAATCTGCATAAATCTGTGATATGGACTATAACAGAGTTCTCATTCCCTTTCATCTTTTCATCTCTATGCTTTTGGTTGACAGATGATGTAAGAACTCTCATTCATTTCTGCCCCTGCTTCACCACATTGAAAACAGTAACTGAGAATATGGATATCTATGATCTGGAGTTATATTGCATCACCCTCAAGAAACAAGTGTCCTTGTTCCAGGGCAGCCTTTACAGCCCAGAAAGGATATTTTGGTATCTCGGCCTGTTATTGTGAGAGCTTGACTGAGGTACTTTGAAAACAATGCTTCCCCACATTTTTAGCTTTCTCTTCATGGACAATGAAGTAAAGTGAAAACCTAGCCACTTCCCCAGTTTCTGAGAAGACTTCCAGCTGCCTAAGCAGAACCTCTAAATATGATCCGGTTGGAATCCTTTTGACTTTTACTTGGGTATAAAACCATGGAAGCACCTACAGGTGATGTAGACACACTCACCTTGAGATGCTATCAACATCTCTAGAGACAGGGTGATCTGCCCCCTGCAGCTGGCAAGGTGCCTCACCCAGCCAACCCAGTCTTCTACTTCTCTCATAGGATTAGAAGATATGTGCCTGGTTGTTGAAAAGAACAATGATATCTTTAAACATGACAGACCTTAAGTATCCTTGGATCTTTCTGTCATTCTGTATAAGAAATCAAATATAAAGTGATATCATTGAAGTCCTCTGGCATAGAGCAAGCTGTGAAATAGGGCACATGCATGATGTATTCTCCTTCTTCATTGGAATGTGTTTGGAGACAAATACCTGAAACCCTGTAACTTTCCTTGGAGAGGATGATCAAAAAGTAAGTGGAGAAGTGGATTATCCCAATAGTCACTCAAAAGTATCTGAGACCAGTTGATGGGTATTCACACAAATATTGTTTTTTATGTCCCAAATCATAAGACACAATTAAATATTATATTGACAATATAGAGCTTTTTCATATCCCTGTTAAAAAAATTAGAAAATCCATTTTCATGAAAACATTTTCAAAGATTGCAAAATGTACCATGAATTTTAACTAAGAAAAACATATGCAATCAAACTTTCAGCCATTTCCATACTTTGGACAACTTACTCACTAGTCACCACATCATCACATGGGTTATGCACATTGCACAAAAAGTGTTCATATGGGCGCAGAGGTGAATCTTTTTGGAGTCAGGAGTCAAATATGCTTTCCAACTGGTCTGAGGGCCTTAGGACCCTGAAGACAAACAGAGGTGCAGAGACTAATAGCCCATGACTATTCTCTGTGGAAACAGCTTCTCCATTGTTAACTAAAGGCTGTCTTTGACTTTGTCCTTCCTTCCTCATCATGTTGGTGACAGAGCAGGTCTCCAATCAAATCCTGGAATAAACCTCTCTTTGGGAGCACCTCTGCAGGTCAGCATAGTTGGCATTGATTACATTTCAGTAAGGAAAGTGATGAGTTGTCAAGAGGGAGGCACAAGGCAGAGAAAAGAGAGATATAGGGGACATATATACTAAATTTGGTACTTTAATTCTGTAGTAGATGTTGTAGCCTCCGGATTATCAGGGCTCTTTCCAAGAAATTACTAGTTAAAGAATTACTTTAACTAGTAATTTTTATGGGAAAACAGCCTTTCTAGATGCAAATTAAGATTTGGAGTTAGGTGAGAATGGTCCAAATAATGCAGTGGCCCCCAAACTTAATCAGGTTTCCTGCTAAATTAAAGTCAGAGGGAGTTATAACATCTGAACAGAAAGCAGAAAACTGACAGAGATAGAAGTTGGAGTGATGTGGTCACAGACAATGACAGCTGGAGCCTCCAGGTTGCAGAGGCATGGAACTTACTCTTCACCTCAACCTCTGCAGAGAACCAGTTCTGACAGTGCTCTGATCCTGCCTAAGCAAAAATATGTGTTGTTGTAATACAATGTTTTTTATAGAATTTTTTACAATAACCCTTGCAAACTGGAGCTCAAAAAAAAGACTAAGGGTTCAATGGTCATGTGAAATCACTTGTTCAACATTATGTTGCTACAAGTACATAAATTTGTATTAATTTTATGGTGGAAAAACTGTGAAACATCACAGTGAATGTATAATGAGAAAACACCTAGATATAGAATGGAAAACAGTGACAATTTTTTGTGTTACTGGGGCTTGAACCCAGGGAATACATGTAGAGACACTCCACCAGCCCTTTTTTGTAAAACCTTTTATCTAGATAGGGTCTCACCAACTATTTCCCCAGGCTAGCTTAGAATCATTATCTTCCTGATCTCTGCTTCCTGAATACCTAGGATTACAGGTGTGAGCCACCTGACCCAGCAGGGATATTTAATTGAAAATAACATCTGCTTCATAATATTCTGCATAGAATCATTATTCTAAGATACACAAAGGTACATAAAACAGAGTACTGTGCACACATTTCCATTAAATGTTATACTCAGTGTTGCATAAATTATTTAACCATTAGGCTACTCATTGATGCCTATAGGGCTTCATTTCAAACATGAAGGAACTAATAGATGGATTGCCAAGCATCCCATGACCTTTGAATGGTGGGGCTGGGATTTGAACCCAGGTCTGTCTCACCTTAAATATAAGCCTTCCTTGTGAACCTCTTTATCTCATACAAGGATCCATGACCTTTCACATGAAAGAAGGGATGAAACTAGAAAACTGTTAAATTCACAGCTCCTGTCTGCATCTGCCCTGTGCTATGATGTTGAACTTATTCTTAAAGTCAATCCCTCTTCAATTTTGTCCACAAATACCAATCTCCTAAATCCTTTGCAAGTGGAAAATGACAGTTCAATATGCATGCGGGGCACAACTTGCACTTTCCTGATCCCTGTTTCATGTATATTTTTTTATTTAAATTGCTGACCTGTTCTGTCCCTCTCAGATTGTGTCTTTTAAGTCTCATTTGCCCTTCTAATATGAAAAAAATCCTATCAGGATCCAGGAAAGCTATTTGGTAGCAACTTATCTTAAAAATTAGGCTAGTGGAAAAGCAAAAGGAGGATTTTAGATAGGTGCCACTATTATAATCCACTCACATGTGAGGAAGTCCCCCAGATAGCCCAGGTTTCAAGGTATAGATGTTGCAGGCAAAGGTGATTCCTTGTCATGTGCTGATGAACTGGGCTTGAACATCCAAGGCAATGGAATAGATGTGACATATAAGATGTTCCAACCTATGTTCAACTTTTATGCAGTTTGAAGACTTTCTCCATGTTCATTCACACTGATGTGAAGGAGACTGAGACTCTTCTATCTTGAAGACACCATGTAGAAAATCTGGTGTCTGCATAAGAATGATGTTACACTCACTACTAAAGACTAAACGAAAACAATGACATTTATAATGCATGACAGGAACCTACATTAGCTAACAATGATATTTGTTGAAGTAACCAGCCTTAGTATCACTAGACAGCCACTGGTAAATAACACAAGAATGTCAGAAAAGAATCAGATTAAGGGATATTCCAAATTAAGAAAAACATGTAACCCATGGGTTTGAAATACTGTAGAATTGTGAGTTCTTTACTAAACAATCAAGGTATTAGTCACCTGTGCTGTATTGCTTTACTAGGGCTGTGGTTATTTCAAAATATTTTTGAACATACTAAGCATTCTTCCTTTAATTATCTTTTCATTTAAAGAAATGAAATAATTTTAAACTCATAAATACTTCATAAGGAGAACATACAATATTTTCTAATCAGAATTATACTGCAAAATTATTTCTTGATCCTGCTGTAATATTTATGCATAGGAAGCAGTTTTAAGGAAATAGAACATAAAGTTCAATAGATTTTTTTACTTTGTTTCTTCCAGGGCAAAGAATATCTTTAAAATAGAATTCTCAATAAATGTCCCATAAGTTCCAGTATTTTGTTCAAGGAAAAACATCTTTGCATTCCATAATCCAATCTGCATCAACAAATTTTATCAACATTAGGCTGACAATTTGAACATTGCATAAGCACAATGAACACTTCATAATGCTATGTCAACATTGGGAGATCTATGTTTATATGATTAAAATAAAAGTTCATAACTCATAATGTACAGATTCTAGCTGGTAGTATTGGTGATATCCTAATAAAAACTAAACAAGAAACACATGTGTAATCTTGCCCCTTCCAGCAGCACAGATTTAGTGTTATTCATGAATAATTCCAATGGGTAGAGTTTACTATGTTGTATAAATCAAAAGAATATTTCTTCAAAAGTAATATGTAATCAAATAAGAGATGATCTTCATAATAACAAAATATTGGCAGTTACTATACTATATTTTTCATTATTACGGAATGCTGCTGTACTAAAATTGTATGAGATCAAGACTGATAAACTTGGTTCACAGTTTCTTTTTGAAGAATATAGTATTCAATGAAATTTATTCTGATGTGAAAACTTCGAGACTATTTTGTAAACAAGAATTACAAAATTCTTGTTTTGTAATTCTTTTGTAAAAAAGAATTACATAAGAAAGAGTTAAAAATCTAATTGACTTACTCTCTATAACTGTACAATGCATTCCACACAAACAAGGGCATGCTCCTACATTAGATCAATATAACTGAGAATGCCACTCCATCTAGTGCTTACATCCATTGTACATTTCAGAAATAGTCTTTAAGATGTCTTATATAAAGAAATGGTTTCTAGGGAGAAGCACATTTTTTTGGCCACGTCTGTGTGTCCTTAGTCTGATCTGTGACACCTGGGGACTCAGGACCTGTGGTAAGTTATTGAGACGAAACAGGCCTGCAGCTGTGCCCAGTCATGCCCAGCCCCTGCTGATTTGCATGTGCCAAGAGCACAGTCCACTTCCCTGAAGACTTCTTAATAGGCTGGTCATATATTGTACAGGAGTCAGTCCCAATCAGGACACAGCATGGACATGAGGGCTCTTGCTCAACTACTAGGGCTCCTGCCTCTCTGCCTCCAAGGTAAGGAAGGACAACATTGGGAATTTACTCAGCCCAGTGTGATCAGTGCCACTTGATCCTTTCTGAGGTCCTTTTTTTAACATGCTTAATTGTATGGACATTTGTTATATTTCCAATGTCAGGTGTCATAGGCGACATCCAGATGACCCAGTCTCCATCCTTGCTGTCTGCATCTCCAGGAGAGAGAGTCACCATCACCTGCCATGCCAGTCAGGGTATTAGCAAATGGTTAGCCTGGTATCAGCAGAAACCAGGGAAAGCTCCTAAGCTCCTTATATACACAGCATCCAATTTGGAATCTGGAGTCCCATCAAGGTTCAGTGGCAGTGGTTCTGGGACAGATTTCACTCTTTCCATAAGCAGCCTGGAGCCTGAAGATGTTGCAACTTATTACTGTCAACAATATGATGAGCTTCCTCCACAGTGATACAAGTCATAACACAAACCACTCAGGGAAGCAGAGTTGTGAGGATGGGAGGCCCCTGCCGCTTCTCTTGCTGCCTTCATCTGTTGAGAGTGTTTTTCAGAGACAGTCAGGAATGTTACTGGAAGATTTTTTTAAAGGGACCAGGAAGAACTTTTAACTTATTTTATCATCCCCATGCATCTCATATAATGGGCCAAAGTGGATTTTATTTATGATCACTAGGAATGAATCCCAACCATGAGAGAAGGAATCACTGAAGCATTAAAATAATAAGTATATAATGATTTTTTTTGTTTGAAGCCACAGCCTTGAAGAAAGTGGCAAGGAGAAGTTGTGTTAACATCTGCACCACTGTGATAGAACAAATATCATTCTGCTAACTGGAGAATTTGTCACAATTCTCAACTTCCACGGTGTTGATAATGAGATGGAATCTGTCTCAGACACACAGACATTGAGAAAGGTGGGGAACAAAAACCAGGGTCCAGTGTTTTAAGTCTTGTAAGATATATTCTTCTTTTCCCGGGATTGAGTTTAGGGGTGTTGGATTTTTCCATATAATGTTCTGCTAACATCAAGTACTTGTATGATTTGGAAAATAAGGAAGGTTCATTCTCGATGAACACACGGTAAGAAATATGTATGAAAATGGAGCTTTGTTAAAAGACCATTATAGTTTCATGTCTACTGTTAATGATGGATTATATTTCCTTGGGGGCCTTTCTCAGACTTCACACAGACCCTCAGAACAGAATAAGTACCAGTGTATTGATATTATTTTCATCATCTAATTTATGAGATTTTGTTAATTTGTCATAATAAATATTCTCTTTGCTTTTTATATTTTCCTTTCTACATTATGTATCCTTTGCTTTATATCTTTCATGGATAATCATGAAAGATGTGTGTGGAGTATTTTAAACTTTTGTCCTTGTCTGAATAAAAGTATAATTTTGTGTTGTTGTAGTCAAGAAGAAATTTTCCTTTCTTTCATGTTATATAAGATTGGTATGATAACAAATTGTGTTGCTTCCATCGTCTTCTCTGGGAACTGTGCATGTTTTATCAAAAGACTCCTGCTAAAGATCACCTCCTTCCCAGGGATAAACTCTAAATAAGGGTTCCTATTTAATTCAGTCAGATACAGAAAGGAAATGATGAGCTCAGCTTCTCTGCTTCCTGCTGCTCTGATCTGAGAGGAGGAGACATTTTAAGGATCACCATGTGAGGGAAAAAATGACTTTCTTCTCATTATATGAGTAATCTAAGGACCTTGTCTTGTACCTGTGAATCATAACATCACAAGACACTCACACACTTGAAGATTTGAAAATTATCTGGTAGTGTCTTTAACAAGAATGATATCATTTTTCCATGTGATTTTCTTTTCACTTCAGTTGAAAATGAGAACATTGTGCTGCTTAAATTTACAACTTTGAGACAAACTTAACTGTCAGAAGGAAGGCAAATGAAGACATTAGTAGATACTTGAGTTGATAGCAATAAAACCACTACAAGTGTCCCAAAGTTCAGAATCTGATAAAAAAAGAAGAAATGAAAGGTCTTCAAGATGATCAGAACTGTTATCAATCCTATGTGTTTGTAATGAATAATTTTCTACAAGGAATGAAAAGAGGGATCCTAATACATATCAGAGCCTTCCATTGGCACTTTGGAACACAAGAAGAGTGGAGAAACCAGAAAGAGCAAGGCTTGGGGTCTTGTAGCTCCACTGAAGACTAAAGTAGTTTATTCTTAGTGTTTCAATCTAGCTGAATCAAAGTATACCCTTTCTGGAGGTCAAAGAACATTCCCTAAATTGAAATCAAATGACCTTTAATAGGTTTTAGGGTAAATGTCTGTTCAATCTACATAAATATAAACTATATAAAACCCAGTTGTCTTCAGTTCACCATCAAGCCCACAAATCTTAGGCTTCTTTTTATTCATCAAGATTTATCCCTCATTTCACATTTCCTCTTCTTTACTGTCCCTATTTTCTGAAAGAAGATAGCATATGTCTTTCATTACTGAGTCTCAACCTCTGCTTACTACTCATTTGATGGCTTTGTTATTTTCTTAGCCCAATTCATCATGCAGAATAGTCATCTAATAAATATTGTACCCGTTTTTATCTTCACTGTTGTCAAGTTTATGATTTGAGGAATTTATTGTAGATTAGGAAAACAGACTCTGAGGATACGGACATCCACAGCTTGGGATCTTCACACGTCTCACAGTGAACCTCATGCAGGAAGCAGGTTACTTTGTATCTGAAAGGATATTTTCATTTGGGAAGCTGTCACTGTGAGATGCTTTCTGATGTTGTCCTGAGAATAAGGCTCCAAACACCTTCAACTTTCTCTTCATGGAGGATGAAGTAAAAGTGAAAACTGAGCCACTTTCCCAAAGTTTGAGGTTTCCAGCGGTCTGAGCAGAAGATACAAATATGATCACTCTGGGAGACTCCTGGTGTTTTCGTGGACACTGGTCCCTGGAGACGCTTACCTCTGTGTTGTTTCCACCAGTGATGGGCACAGTCACCCTGAGATGCTTCCAGGGTCTCTGAATATTGAAACAAGATGATCTTCCCCCTGCACCTAGCAAGGATGCTCCATAAATGCAGCAGTGTTGTACTTCTCTCAAAAGATTAGAGGAAATGTACCCTGTTCCTGAGAACTATGTAATCATTTTGTGTCCCAAATCATAACACATTTAGATATAATACTTGTAATTCTGAGGTTTCTCTTACTAATGTGATACAAATTCAGAAAATTTATTTCCATACAAATCTTTTCAAAAATTGCAAAATGTATCATGAATTTAACTAAGAAAAAAACATACAATCCAATTTACAGTCATCTTCATACTTCAGACAACTCACTAGTCACCACATCTTCACATAGGCTATCCACAGTGACTAACAGGATTCACAAGGGAGGCAGAGGTGGAGCTTATTTTTGGCAGGGGATATCCATGCTTCCCATGAGGCATAAGGATCACGAAAGCCTGAAGACAATCAGAAGTGATCATGAATGTTCTCTGTAGAAACAACTTCTCCCTACTTGGCTACGGTCCATCTTTGGCTGTGTCATTCCTCTGCATGGTGATGGTGAAAGATCACGTCTATGAGAAAGCACTAGGAAAAGGTGTGTAGGTGTGACCACCTCTGAGGTTCAGAATAGTTGGCAATAGATACACTTAGGGAAGGGAAGTGATTTTTGGCCAAGAGGGAGAGAAGGAGAGAAAGAAAAAAAGAGGGAGAGAAATATTCAATGAACGTTGATGCTGTAATTACTTAGTGGATTCGGCATAGACACCAAAACATCAGGGTTTATTCCATGGAAGCCCTTCATATTAACTTGTATGAGAAAAGGGAATTTACAGATGCAAGTGAAGATTGGTCTGATTATTCAGTGGGCCCTAAATGCAATCACAAGTGTTGTAAAAGAGAAGCAGAGGGAGTTAAAAAAAAGGAGAGTACAATTAAATGGAAACACAGAAACAGAATCTAAAGTGACATAACCAGACCTAAGAAAACCTGCAGCCTCCTGGTTGGAGAGATACAGACTAGACACTCCCCACACAACCTCTGCAGGGAGCCCCACCTGGTAACACTGTGATCATAGTCCAGAGAAATCGATCCTCGATCCAGCGTACAGAACTGGAAGACAGTACATCTGTGTTGTTTTCTGTCCCTTGCTTAAAATATAATCTGTTACAATTGTTATTGGAAACTAACATAAATTGGAGCTCAATGCAATGGTCACTTGTAATCTCCTTGTTCAACTTTCTAATGCTATACATGAATGAGTTGATCATAGCTTTTATAATAGAAAATATCAGGAAACACTTCAGTGATATACACTGTCAGGTAAGTGACAGATGCAGAATAAAATCTGGCCAAATTTTATTGAACATAACACTTTAATATCTTATGTAGAATCTTTTTTCTAAAATATGCAAGCATACATAAAAGAGAGCACTGCATACTCTTCTCTTTAAATAGTTATTCTCTGTGATGAATCTAACTAAACTCTAAGGAAACACTTTAATATCCTAGGACTCCATTTCACTAAGGAAAGAACCAATCATCAGAGTCCATGCTTGGTTTGCCCAGTATCACATGGCCAGTTGAGTGATAAAGATAGGATTTGAACCGGGTATGACACACTTTAAATATGTGTCTTCCTTGTGGACATATTTATCCTATACAGGATTCCATGACCTATCAAATGCAAGAAGGGACAAAACTAAAAAGATGTCATCTCAGAGCTCTCTGCTGCCTCTGCTCCATGTTTTTTTGAACTTAATCTTAAACATAGACACACTTCAGTTTTGTTAACAAAACTCAAAACCTCAAAATACTTTACAAATGGCAGGTAAAATGTGTTCAAATTTAGGTATAGGGAACACCTTGAGCTGTCCTAACTCCTTTTACATCTATATTATTCCTCTAAATTTCTGGCTGATTATCCCCTTCACTGTATTTGTTCTAACATTTAAAAACAAATAAACAGAAACAAATGAACAAAAATTTTCTAGTCCTATCAAGTGTTGCGAATTCAACATTAGGCTCTCACATCAAACAATACCCAGATTAAATTGAGGTATTTTATTGAAGAAATTTTCTACCCGAAAGGACCTCCGGTGCTTGCTTTTTTAACAATAAAACATTCTTTGTTTCTTGTCAGAATTGCAGCACAAATATAAGAAAGTAGAAATTTTGGGAGAGATAGACACTCACTCAGGAAGGCAATGATACTCTCTCCTATTTTATGAGTAACACCTAAAACAAATTGCCATGACTTCACTACTTCCAATTGCACAAATTGAATATCCCACAGCCCGAAAGCCAAGTCTCACCAAGCTAAAATCAAGGAGTCAGGAGTGTTGTGCTCCTTATGGTGGTTTTACAACAGAGAATCCATTTACTTGCTTTGTCAGCTACAAGATGCTCTCACATTCCCTGCTTCAAGGCCACTTCAATCCATCACCAG